GGCCATCTCGGTGGGGGCTGAGTGAGATCACTAGTTCAGCGTGGTATCATGGGAGTGTGGGGACCCCACACTCCAGAGGACTTTGCCCTGGCCCTGTCCCTCAGTCTGGGGTGGCTGAGACCTTCCCCAAGCTGTGTTCACTGAGCCTGCCCACCCCTGGCTAAGAGATGGTCCCAGAGCCCAGCCACGGCTGCCCAGGATCAGGGACTTTGCCTCTGCCCCGGATGGAGCTGCCCACGTCCACAGCAGGCACACACAGACACACACACGCACAGCTGCATGGTGCTCCCCTGCAGCCCCGGATGCAGGACCCAGAATTTAGGATGAGGTGTGGGCACGGCTTGTTCTGCCCATAGGCACCCTCCCTTCTCCTGCCTGCTCTGAGACAGAGGGCTGGTGTCTCTGCAGTGGCCCCTGGCTCTGCCCCACCCTGAATGCTGGGGCTGCAGTCTGGCTGTGACTCTCAGGGGACCTGGAAACCCTAACTAAGGACTGCCCCTCCCACCCACCTTCTGGGGTCTTCTCCCAGCTTGAGGGTTAAGCTGAGAGTGTCCTGAGTAACAGACACCTTGGAGTGTCTTTCCAGAGAGCTTCACCACCTCAGGGAACCCCAGTACTCCTGGGGCCCTGAGGGCTCTATCTCACTCCAGATGCCTCTGGGAGGGCCTGCCACTTGGGCAGTGCACCCCCACAAATGGGCAGGCTGCGGCTATGTGAGGCTGGGGGCTGGCTCCCCAGGGCCCAGCCAAAATCCCTGCACCAGGGCCTCAGCAGCCCAAACGGGGCCCAGGGTCACAGCTGTGGGAGCAGGAGAGAAGGTGAGCACGGCTGCCAGCCCCCATCCGTCCCTCCCCACCAGCTGAAGCCTCAGCTCCTGTCTTCACGCCCAGCTCCAGTCTCCTCCCCATGTTCCCCTCTGGGGACAGATGCCCAGCTAGGGAGGACCACAGAAGCAGGGCTCAGGAATGCATGCCCCCATGCACAGCATCACGGGACACGAGCCCAACTCATGATCACCCCTGGCACATACGAGGCCCCACACCTGCTGTGGGATGATCCCCAGGGAGAGGGTGTCACATGCTCTCTCCTGTTCACGCAGCCTCTACCTCCTCCTTGGACCACTGAGATGGCAACACTGGCCAAGCCCACTGGTTGCCACAGTCTTCCTGAGGCTGGGTGCCAGGACATGGGGTGCAAGCCCTGGTGGGACCTGGGTGAGGAGCCGAGGCTCCCCACGCCCTGATGCGTTCACAGAGCTGCCACCCTGCCCCCATGGCCTGACTGGCTGCTTGCCTCCACCCTCCGCCGGCAGGGATGCCCACGGCATCAATGATTGATGCTTGCTGCGGCAGCTGCAGCAACATAAGCAAAAATAGCTCTGCTGTGGTCCTTGCCCCGCCCCATTCACAGCCTTGCATGCAGCCCAGCCCTGTGCCCAGATGGAGGGGTGTGAGGAGAGGTGAGAGCAGCGAGGACCTTCTCAGCCGCCACCTGCCCCTGCTCAGTCTTTTGCATGGAGATGATGGGGGAGGACCCCTGTGAGCAGGTGGGGGTACTTGTCCACCCAGCCTCCCCCTCTTGCCTGATCACACTGACTCCTGACCTGCAAAGGCCTCACTCTCTCTCAAAGCTGAGTGCCTGTTTCAGGCCTGGGTATTGTCCCCAGGTCCACTTCCTCTGCACCTACACAGCTGGGATCAGGAAACACGGCTGTGGGGGTCATGTCAGGGTGCTGCCTTCGTCCCATGCAGGTGGGCTTCTTTCAACGCCTGTGTCTCCATTGATCCCTCTGGCTCAGCAGTCCACCTCGTAACTGAGTAGCAGCAGGTTCCCATGCTGCCGCCTGCAAGCCCTGTCATTCCTGCTGCTGGCGGCGAGGACAGGTGCTCTCCCCCGCTTGCCCTAAGGACTTGGGGCTGAGGATCGCAGAGGAGCAGGATGCCTGGGTGCTTCTGGGGACCCCTGCCCAGCCAGTCCTTGCTCATCAGGTGATGCTGGGAGGTGCTTGACTGTGGGGTTCTGTGGGGGGTGGCACTAGCCAAAGGGCTCAGGCTGGCCCCTCCTGCTGAGGCTGGGGTTGGGAAGCTCGGCTCCTCTGCAGAGGGAAGGTGCTCCCCACACACTCATTGAGCAGGGCTGGGGCTCAGGGGTGCACAGAGGTGGCTGGAGAGGTCCTGAGAGGGCCACATGGGCTATTCCTCCTGACCACACTGCACCTGCCCCCTCCATGCCCCTCAGGAGTCATGGCTAATGTCCCCCACACCCAGACTTTAATGGGAACTCACCCTCTTGCGCCCAGTCTCCTTTAGCAGCTGGGGCCAATTCAGCTTGAGCAGTGCCTGCTCTGCTCACCAACCTGGAAGCCTTGTCCTCAGCTGGTGCCCCAAAGGGCTGTGCCATGAAGCCGGCTGGTCCGCCCAGAGCTGGCCCAAGAAGCCAAGCTGCCTAGCAGCTACCTGGGCTGCCCCACCTCCTCCTGCAACCAGGGTTGGGCACCAGAGGTCAAGGTCGCCTCTGCCATTTCCTCTGCACCTTGGCTTCCCCAAGGCAGCACCTTTCAGTGGGTTGCAAGGGGTCACTCAGTGTATCAGCGCCGCTGCTGCCATAACAAAACCAGAAACGCAGTGTGGAAAACAGCATGCGGCACACTGACCAGCTCTTCCAGGTGTGGGCTGGATGGTGTGCCTTCTGGAGGCTTCAGCGGAGACCGTTTCCTGGTCCCTTCGGCCTCCAGAGGCATCTGCAGTCCTGAGCTGGTGCCCGGTATCACTCCGGCTCTGCTTCCATCTCTGCGTCTCGTCTATTTCCTGACCAGGCCCTTTGTGATTGCTCCTCACCAGGCTCCTCTCCACCTTCCCAGAGCCTTTCACTGAAGCACATCTATAAAGTGGCTTTGGCCTCGTAAGGTCACATATTCACGGGTTGCAGGGATTGAGATGTGGACATCTCTGTGGGGCTCTGTTCAGCCACCACACCAGCTAATCAAGCCATATGGGTCATTTTTATACATCCTGGGGGTACTGTGCGCCCCACACTCTCCACGTGGAAGCTGAGGCCCAGTTGGGAGTGGGGGATTGCAGAGAACCAGGAGAACAGCTCCTGCCCCAGCTCTGCTTCTCACACAGGCCTTTGGGGCTGGGCCTCAGTTTTCCCACCTGTACACAAGGACAACACTCCTCCTGCCCGCCCCCCCCGCCAGGTCCTGGGCCTCAAGAACGGCAAGGACAGTGCAGTGATGAGGGCAGCAGTGGGAATGGCCGCTGCCCCTAGGCTGGCAAGACAGGTTCAGGCCTGGTCTACAAATCCAACCACTGCCCAGTCAACATCCTAGGGCCACTGTGGTGCTGGGGTGGTCGGGCCAAGGTCCAGTCCCAGACAGTCTGACAGAAGAGCTCCCATACTGCGTGGCCTGGCTGCTCTGCCCCTCAGGAAGGAGGGGGGATGGGAGGCTGGTCTAAGGCGCAGAGAATGATCTCATCTTGCCATTTGTAATATTAAAGTTTTCGGGAACTTGGCTGAGAAGGACCAGTGGGGGAAGGGGTGATTCAAGCAAGGACAGAGTCCAGGCCCCAGGGTGAGAGAAATGTGAGCCTGGAAGTGGACAGGGTGGACAGTGAGTGGGGTGGACAGCGGGTGGTGTGGGCAGCGGGTGGCTGGCTCAGGCCTTCACCAGGGCCAGGCCCTCCTCTTACTCAGAAGAGGCAGTGATGGGTCCAGTCTGGGAAGGCCAGGGAGGAGATGGAGTCAGGTTGGCTCCTTGAGTCTGGGGGTGAGGGCAGAGGGCAGAAGGCCTGGAAGTCCAGAGGGGAACTGGCAGAGATCAGGCTAGCTCCTCAGTCCCGCTGTGGCTGGAGAGAGGCTGTCCACCAGCCCGGCTCTGCCGGGGGCTGGCTGATGACAGCAGAGGGGGCACTCAGTGGGGCCTGCGAGGGAGGGATGGAGCCTCCCCGCCGCTCCTTCCCCCGGGAAGGCTGTCGAGTTAGGGGCAGGAGAGGTTCTGGGGTTCAGGAGTCAGCAAGACGGACTTGGCCCTCGCCTGGGGGAGCTGGAGTCCTGAGGGGCCTTCGCTCAGCTGCACCCACAGAGGCAGCGCGGCGAGCTCAGCCGCGGGGCGTCGGGAGAAGGTGCTGCGGGTGATGGATGCGCCGGGTCGGGCCTGGGGGACTTGTCGTGAGGAAGAAAGAACCACTCGGGCAGCGAACTGAGGACGGACAGGAAGCTCGTGCGACCCCGCGCCCAGGGATCTGCCCGTGGGGAGGCCCGAACCCAACCACAGTGGCTGCGGCCCGGGGCGGGGCCTGAGGGCGGGGCCGGGCCAGGGAGGGCGGGGCCGGGCCGTGGGGCCTGAGGGCGGGGCCGGTGCTGGTCACGCCCCGGGTGCGTGCTGACGCCACGGCGGTGAACGCCGGAAGCGGAGGTGGCGCACGCCGTTGCCGGGCAACAGGGCGGCGCGGGCTGGGGGGGACCGCTGGTGGCAGGTTTCGCCCGGCTTGCCGGGCCCAAGTGAGGCGGCGACGAAGGTGCGTGCGGGCCCTGGGTGCAGGACGCGTGGGGACCCTTGTGAGCCGCGGGCTGGCACTCAGCCGGCCACCTCGGACCCTGTCCAGAGTCGGCGGTCCAGGGCTGCCCTGCGGGCCGCGTGCGAGAAGGACTCTCTGGAGACCCCGGGGCGCCGCACCCCTCCTTCCCACTTGGGCCTCCAGTGGGAGCCCGGCTCCCGCTCCTCTGGTCAGTGTGGGGCTCCCAGGCCCGCTCGAGACGCTCTCCAGAGAAGGAGCCCCGCCTTGGGCCGCTCGTCGCACACCTGCCGTGGGTCCGGGACGCGCCCCTGTGTCGGACTCCGCGCCGGCGCGCGTAGGAGGAAGCCAGGACTCCCGGGCGACCCGGCCGTGTTTGTGGCTCGTGTCAGCTCCACAACAGCACGTGGGCACTCTCCACCATCAGCCACTGGGCAGCCCGGGGCACTCCTGCGCGTCCCAGGCCCTATCCAGGACAGGGGAAGGTTGGGCGGCCAGCACTGTGGTGTGCGTGTCTCAAGAGCAGCTGCCCATCGGGCCTCTGCTGGCCTGGCAGCTCCAAGATGCAAGACCGGCAGCAGCTGGAGGAAGAGCCTTTGAGTGACTTCCAGGCGGAAGCAGCCAAGGCTTCCCTCCGAGTGGCACCTGAGAGGCTGAGTGATGACAGTTTGGAATGGATACGGATGTCCCCTGACCTTCTCCTGCCGGGTGGGAAAACCAGCAACTCCCTGCCCGGTGAGGGTGGTTCCACCTGCACCACCCGGTGTCCTGACCCTGGGGAACACAGCAGCACCTGGGGGGAGTTTGAAGGCTTTCGGGAATCTTCAGCTAAGTCCGGACAATTCTCGAAGTCCCTGGAACTCCTGGAGGGACCCACAGAACTCCAGCCACCGAGAACCACTTCTGCCCCAAAGGAGTGCAGTTCTCACCAGCCGTGCCAGGGTGGACCTTGGGTGACAGGAACTGCTGCTATCCCACCTTCTGAGGTATTTCTACAGCGCTGTGGTCACCATGTTGAGTGGGACATGTGTATACACCAAGAGGCCTGCAACCCTGAATGCTGTGGTGTGCTGGCCAGGGAGGGACTGACAGCCTTGGAAGATCTGCTTCTCTCCTGGCTGTCATCCCTGGCCATGTGGTTGGCAGTCCCATCCTGAGGCCAGGGAAGGAATGAATTGTCAGAGGAGGCTGCAGAAATGGGTCACGCCAAGGCCAGGTGCGGTCCACCTGAGCTGGGTCCCTCTCTCTGACCATTCCTCCCCCGGCCTATCCACTCCCCATTGGCAGGCTGCACAGGCCCGAGGTCAGGGCGTGTAGGGAGGAACTTTATGTCTGAATTCTGAATCTGCAGAGTTCAAAAGTCTCAGAGATTCTAAAATCACATGATCACATTTCAACTTGTTGTAATGAATTGGGTGATGCCTGATCTGACCTGTCCGGGAGCCCTGGTCCCAGCCCTCAGCCCCTTGCCCCCTGCTCTCTTTCAGAGCCGACTGTCACGTGTTTACTGCCGGTGACACCTCTGATCCTTCTCTTTTCCTGTCTTCCTCCTTCCATTGTCTGCTTTCTCTGCCACTTCTTCCCGAGTGGTTCATCCCAAACACCATCATGAGAGATAAGAAGTAAAACCAGTGAGGAAGGAAATAAAGATACTGCGGTTCTCAGGGCTGGACTGTTTGTTTACTACACTGGTCAGTTTCCCTGGACCCTGACAAGACCCGCTCTAATAGAGTAAGGTCTGCTGTCGTGCTTGTTTTGAACACAGGATTTGTTTTCCAGCATGATTGATGTATTAGGGAACAATTTGAGCATAGTTGAAATTTCACAAGAAGGAGTAGATGAATGCAGAAAACTGCCCCCAGCTGAGCTGGGGCACACTGGAATACATGAGAGTTGCATACGCACACCCTCAAACAGCTATCAGCGCCCCAGTGTAGCACACCCGTCCACACCTGGTGTTGGGACTTCGCCCAGTTCAGACCGCCTTCCTCCCACCTGTTCACACTAACAGCCTGCGAGCCTTTGTCTTTTCCAAGGTAAAGTGCTGTGCTTATTGTAGTATATATAATTTCTTCACCAAATATGGAAAACAGTGCTAACATTATTGGGTGGCCATCTTTTTTCATGTGTCACTGACAAAGTTTCAATGTTTTGCCCTAACCTCACTTTTCCCATGAGCCCTCTGGTTTTGTGTGATTTTGCTAATGTGGTGATTTTTAGGAATGAATATGTCAAGTGATAGTAACACTAATGGTATGATCAATTACACATTTCATGGGTATCATTATTTCTTTGGAATAAGGTAACATGATGTGTCTTTCTCCTAACTTCAGTATGCTTTCGTTTTTTTCTTTTCAGCCCATTCTCAGCAATGAGAACATTTTAAAGTGTGCTTTTCAAGAAATAACAGTTCAGCAGGCAGCTGAAGACATTTCCACCCTAGACCATTTCCTAGAAATAAGCAGTGAGGAAAAGCCTGGCCTTGAATGTGTGCATAAATTGTGGTAATGAACTTAAGAAATATTTCATACAGCAACCCCATTTTTACTTTTGTTTGATAAAAGTAGATGTGGGAGGCTTTGTGTTTGCCTTTCTAGGGCCATCTCTCCTGAAGGCCCTGCCATCTATAGGTCACAGGGGTCCTATCAGGAGAGGACAGCAGGATTGATGCTCCAGCTGTGGCCTTCCACTCCGAGCCCTGTTCATCCCCTCCCACACCAGGTCACCTGGAGCAGCTGGACCCGAGCCTCACTCCCGTTGGGTCTCCGTGCCAGCGTTGGGGGAGGGCTGAGGGACTCGCACTCGGTGCGAGTGGCTGGTGGGCCTGAGCAGTGGGTACCGGGGCCTTCTGGGGAATGTGGCTGAGTGGGCACTGGCTGCCTCATGGTCCTCAGCCACAGAATTCTAGAAAATACTCCACACTCTGCAGCCCCATTCTCAGCCCCAGGCCCAGCCCCATGGGTGTGCTCCCAGTGCTGGCTGTGGGGCTGCGGGCTCCTAGGAGAAGTCATACATGCGGTCGTTTGCAGATGGCCATTTTCTAGGGACACATTTTCAACTGAACATTGAGAAAGAAACAGTGGTCTGGTGGATTGTGCAGCAGTGGTTGGGAAGCTCAGGATAAGTTAGCCCAAAGCCCCAGAGGGAGGAGGGAAGTGAAGGCTGGAGTGAGCTGGCTTCCCTATTTCTCGGTGCGGTCTGTGGAGTGGATCTCCCAGCAGCCAGGGGAGAGCCAGGTTGGCCTGCTGATTTGTGTGTCTCTGAGCAAGCCTGGACTTTCATAGGACTCTACAGACAGGCCGTTCTGGGCTCTAGCCCTGGCCCACTATGGCCTCTACTGGGGTCCATCCCAGCACCTGCCCCAGAGTATACTCCACAGGGGCCTGAAGACAGGCCTGGAGCCCAGAAGGCTGCAGCCAGCATTGCCCAGATGACCAGTATGCCCTCTGTATGTGGTGCTTCTGCGAAGCAATATCCTGGAGAAAAACTGCCAAGAATGTGGTCCCAGCAAGCTGGTGGTGTGGGAGGTCACTGCTGGCAGTACTGACATCTCTGTCCACCGCAGCACGACTCGTGGACCCAGAGGCATGGGGAGTCCTGGGTGTCAGGACCTGGCTGGGCTGGACACTCATGGGACAGAAGGCTGGATGGCACTTTGGGGGTGGAATAAAGCATGGTTTGTGAGTTCTGAACATTGCCGTATTTTTGGAAATGGTTTGGCATTTAGCACATCCGGCCTTCTTCTGTAGTTATCTGGAGTGCAGTGGCGTGATCTCAGCTTACTGGAACCTCTTCCTCCTAGGCTGAAGCGATCCTCCTGCCTCAGCCTCCCGAGAACTGGGACTATAGGCTCACACCACCACACCCAGCTAATTCTCGTATTTTTGTAGAGACAGGGTTTTGCTATGTTGCTCAGGCTGGTCTCGAGCTCCTGAGTGCAAGTGATTTGCCCTCCTCAGTCTCCCAAAGTGCTGGGTGGTGAGCCACCACACCTGGCCTTGCAGTCATTTTCCCTTTTCTGCCAGCGCATGAACTGCTTACAGGAAACTCGTCTCAGTCCCCCACAGCACGTAGCAGTGACGGGTGGCACATAGTAGACAGTCGCCCGTTCGTTTGTGAGCATCTATTTTGTACACAGCACAGTTCGAGGCACTTGAATGAACACAACCAGCAAAATACCCAGCCTCATGGAGCGTCTGTTCCTTAGAGGAGACAGTAGGGACAGTGAGTAAGCCACTGCCAGGGAAGGTGGTGTGAGGCGCAGAGAGGGCATGGCAGGGGGTTGGGGTGCTGCAGGATGCCACGTGTTATTTGAATAAAAGCATAAATGGGTAAATAAACGAGACAGCTCAGGGTTCCTGCAGGGAATGCTCTTTTTAGGGTTCTTAACAGCCATGTGTCTCTTGGTTCTCGTGGGTCTCAGCCTAGGGGTAAAGGCCAGGTGCCTGCCGTGTGCCTTGGGCAGTGCTGCAGTGACCTCATCAGAAGGCCTTCAAGGTCACCTTTTAACAGCTGCATCTATTTTCCAGTAATGAATCTAGAAAACTCTGGAGAGTCCTTCAGAACACACACACGTCTGCTTCTCAGTGCCTCTGGAGCGAATCTCATTGCCAGGAGAATTTTTTTCTCGTTCTCGGGATAGACGCCATGCAGAAGGTAGGTGGTTTGGGCTGAGACAGGGCTCCTGGGAGTGTGGTTGGACTTCACTGAGGCCAGTGGCCCTTGGCTGCTCCCAAGGGTAGTGGGGTCACCTGGAAGTGTGGGGTCACCTGGACATAGGTGGGTTAAAGCCACTAGGTGGCCCCATAAACTTGTCAGGGCCATTGGATAAGTCCCTAATGCTTGAGGCAGGAGCCAGCAAAGCCCAGAGCAGGAGGCAGGGAAAGGCTCCGGAAGGAACTGGCCTGAGCCCGCAACAGACAAGAAACACAGAGAGCCGCGTATCAGTTCACACTCATGGCTGTGCACACGTTGCCATATGCATACGCCGCCACACACCACCACACGCACACACTGCCACACACACACTGCAGCCCACACACCGCCACACACACGCTGCAGCTCACACACCGCGTATGCACACACCGCCACACACTGCAGCCCGCACACCACCGCGCACACACACCGCCACACACACGCTGCAGCCCGCACACCGCCACACGCACGCTGCAGCTCACACACTGCCGCATGCACACACCGCCACACATTGCAGCCCACACACCGCTGCATGAACACACCGCCACACACACACGCTGCAGCCCACACACCGCCGCACGCACACACGCTGCAGCCCGCACACCGCCACACGCACACACGCTGCAGCCCGCACACCGCCACACGCACACACGCTGCAGCCTGCACACCGCCGCACACACACACTGCAGCCTGCACACCACCGCACACACACGCTGCAGCCCACAGCCCGCAAAGTGCCGCACACACACGCTGCAGCCCGCACACCGCTGCACACACACGCTGTAGCCTGCACACTGCTGCATGCACACACCGCCGCACACACACGCTGCAGCCCACACACCGCCACACACACACACACTGCAGCCCACACACCGCCACATGCATACACTGCCGCACCCACATGCTGCAGCCCGCACACCGCTGCACACACACGCTGCAGCCCGCACACCGCCGCATGCACGCACTGCCGCACACACACGCTGCAGCCCGCACACCGCCGCACGCACGCACTGCCGCACACACACGCTGCAGCACACACACGCTGCAGCACACACACCGCTGCACGCACACACCACCACACGCATGCTGCAGCTTGCACACACCACCGCATGCACACACCACCACACGCACACACCGCCACACACACACTGCAGCCCACACACACCGCCGCACGCACACTGCAGCCTGAACACACCACCGCCATATGCACATACTGCGGCCCACACACACCGCTGCATGTGCACGTGCCACCATGTGCATACTGCTGCATGCACACCACTGCCACGTGTGCACACTGCCACACGTGCACACACCGCCGTATGCATGCACACACACACTGCTGTGAGCACACACCGCCATGCACACACACACCGCTACATGCACACCACTGCCATGCACACACTGCCGAGCACACGCTCAAGCTCCAGAGCTGTCACAGAAAACATCAGTCATAGGGAGGGCCACCTTTCAGCGATCTAGATGGCAAGGATCTTTCTTCATTTTTAAATATGGAAATTTTCAAACATGAAAAACTCGGACAGGACTGGCCAGGCAGGCAGATTGGTCCTGGTGAAGATGGGCATGAAAATGGTTGCCCTGGCAGCCCATGGGCTGCACACTGGGCTGGCCAGGAAGGAAGTGAGGGCAGAAAGGAAGAGGCTCCCAGTGAGGTCAGCCCTGGCTGTGTCATTGTGTGAAGAAAACAGAACCAGGAGGCCAGGGCGTGGGGGAGGCCTCCTGAATAGGAGGCTTAGAGGTGGGACAGCTCCGAGTGGCAGCAGCCTGAAGGGTGTGTCCCGAAAGTGGCTGTGAAGACATTCTGTTGAGCAGTTTGAGGGGCACGAGGTCCTGGAGGGAGGGAGGCCTGTGAGCCAGTTATGGGCAGCAAGTGGCAGGGCCATGCAGGGGAAGCTGGCTGGCCTGACCTTCAGCGGGGCCTGAGAGAAGTTTGCCGTTGTAGAATGAAGTGAGTAGAGAGCTCAGGATGAAAGGCAACAGGAGACAAAGGGTGACTGGCTGGCTGGCTGATGGGCCTGTCTCCTTAGGACCTTTCTGGAGGCCAGGGCCACATCATGGACGATTCTGACCTCAAAGAGCCTGAAGGACTCCTGAATGTCAGCAGCTTCCGCCTCCACCATTGCAAAGCCCTGATCCAGACCAAGGTGAGTGGCTGCCGAGGAGAGGCCGGGGGACTGTGCTGGCTGTGTCCACACAGGTGCCACCCTTCACTTTTTCTGTAAGTCACTTGCAGGTTTTCTTCCTTTAAGCCTTGTGGACTTACAGAAAACAAACATTTCTACTATTTAGGGCAGACAAGCAAAGTGTGAACCCCACTGCAGCGTGCCCAGGAATATGAGTGTGTCATCCACAAAGACTCTTAGGCCAGAGGACCCAGGATATGAGTGGGTGACACAGGAGAACTGCCAGGAGAAGCCAGCCAGGCAGAGGAGAGCTGCAGGGAAGCTGAGCCACCAGGTGTGGGTGACAAGGCCGGAAGGATGGGGCAGGGCCAGCTTGGGACTGTTGGGACGGGACGCTGAGTCCACCTGGCAGCTGTCGTGAACAGATCTGACTGTGGCGGCTTCCGCCGTGGGCCACGTACCTTCCACAGGATCTGTCGGCAGCTTTTCTCTCAGGAGCTCAGGTTCCTGCCGCAGAGTCCCTTCACATTGTCACAGCAGGGCTCAAGGCGGGAAGAGGGGCTGGGCAGAGAGGGGGACTTCTTCCTGTAGCCTCTCTCTTATCAGAGGGAAGAAGGGCTTTATTCCAAGACCAGGTATTGCAGGAGGGGTGAGTTGGCCAGGCCTCGCCCAGCTGGTTTCTTGCTCACCTGGAGACTCAGGACCCTAGAGTAGTCAGGGCTCATTGTATGCACCCAGGAGATGGTGGGAGGGGCACATGGGCGGCCATCAGCATGAAGAGTGACGTGCAGGGAGGCGCAGGAGTGAAGTACTGCCCTGTGGCCTGGCAGGAGGGAACAAGGTGAGCTGGGACAGCAGGAAGGTTGCATAGCACAGGAGGTGGCCAGGTCAGCTTCTGGGCAAGAATTTGGCATGATTGTGGCACAGCTGATGTGGGGTGGGTGATCTGGATGGTCAGCACACAGGTGACAAGTGCCATGGGGCACACAGGAGAGGGCCCTCATCATCCATCTTCATAGGCTGTCTTTTTGCAAAACACCCCAGCACAGGAGAGTTGTCCTAGAGCATCGGGCCCAGAAGAGATGCTTGTGGCTGTGTGGCTGACAACGGCCAACGCCAGGGTCAGCGTCCAGCTGCAGCTCTGTGGGGAAGCCTGCGGTGTAGTCCATGAGTGGACGCTGCAGGCTGTGAGTGTGCAGGGCAGTGGCAGCCGCCACCAAGGAGTGCCAGACACATAGGACAAAGGCCAGAGACCCCGCCTAAGATGTGGGCCCCCCCACTGTTGTAGGGGCTGGCTCCAGGCCCGAGCCACAGGCCCCATGATGAGGCTGACATCCCATGAGAAGGTTTCTAAGAGGAGAACCAAGGAGAGGACACTGAGGGGCCGAGAGGCAGGGACGCAGAGGCAAACACCCAAGCTCGTGTTTCTGGTTGCTGGGGGTGCACGTGCCTGACTGCTGTCCTCTCCTCTCAGCTCTCGGGGCCGCCTCACAGCAGGCAGGGGAGCCTGATGGCCTGCAGCCGCTTCCTGAAGACCCCCTTCTGTGGAGGTGGGCAGCACTTCACTCTTCCACGGAAAAAGATGTTCACGCCACGCAACCTAAAACTGACATTCTTTAATAGCGATATTTGCTAAAATCAGGAGTACTTTATACCTTTATGAGGAATTTTTCATTTTCTTCCTGGCTGGGTTTGATGCTGGAAACCAGAACTGTCTGTGGAGCGGTTTTCCAGATCCCAGGCCCATTTCCCGGAATCTGTCCAACGGGACCTGTCCTGTGCTCTGGGCCCGTCTCAGGTCTCACCGGTAGACAGAGGGTGTGTCCTTGGCAGAGCCAGTTCTCATGGTAGGCAGAGGTTTCTGGGCACAATGGCAGGCTGCCGGCACCCAGGTGACACCCAGGGGTCCCCTACCCCATGTGAATGCTGCTGGCACCTGCTGGGGGGTGCCTAGGGATGGACCCTGGGCATGGGTTCTGGGCTGCCTAGCCCAGGGGAAACAACTCATGGTCAAAGGGGAAGGCGCTGAAATGTCACCAGAGGGACAGCTGTTGAGAGTGCTGAGAGGCTAGGCATGGTGACACGCCTGTCATCCCAGCACTTTGGGAGGCCGAGGCGGGCAGATCAGCTAAGGTCAGGAGTTTGAAACCAGCCTGATCAACATGGAGAAACCCCATCTCTACTAAAAATACAAAATTAGGTGGACATGGTGGCGCATGCCTGTAGGCCCAGCTACTCGGGAGGCTGAGAGAATCACTTGAACCTGGGAGGCAGATATTGCGGTGAGCTGAGATCGAGCCATTGTACTCCAGCCTAGGCAACAGAGCAAAACCCCGTCTCAAAAAAAAAGAAAAAAAAAAAAAAAGAGTGCTCAGAAACCCTTCTGTCTGTCCCACTCTGCCCTGCCCCTGGCTGCTGTGTGGTCAGGACACCATGAGGGTGTGCAGCTGTGCTGTTTCCTCAGTGCCTCACAGGCCCCTCACTCACTGCCTGTGCCCCGCCCTTGCCCTGCAGGATAGGCCTCTCTCCCTCATGGCTGTGGACAGGAGGTCACAACACTGTCCTGAGAAAGCTTCTAGTGGGCCCATGGCTTTCCCTCATTCTCTGTCAAGGAAAACTGTTCTCTTCAAAGGCAGAGCCAAGAAATCAGCCCTGACTTTTGTGCAATTTTATTAAATAAAACAGCCTAGATAAGCCTGTTCTCACTGGTTCATCAACTGGGGGGACTGATACTTGAAATCCTGTCCCCAGGAGAGGACTGAAGTCTAAGCAAGTGGCCACTATGGCTGTCTCTGTTCCAGCCAAAGCCACTTGCAGGACCGTGGCCTCCATGTCGCCGTAGTTGTCAGTGGGATGTGTGCAGTGATAGGCAGGTGTTTCCATCAGGAGGGGAGGAGGAAGCGATGTCCCTGCATGCACCCTGGCCTCAGCCACCCAGCTGTGCAGCCAGCACCATGTTGCATGTGGCTTTGAGGTCTATGACGAGGATAGTTCCTTTTTGTTTGTTTGTTTTTGGCATCACATGTTTTGGAAAGCTGCCTTAATTTTTTTGCATTTTCAGCCAGCTGAAAGTGGGAATTTAGAGACCGTTTTTGTAACACGCAGCTTCTTTCAAAGGCACTGTCTTTTGGAACCAGCAAGACCCTCCAGGAGGTGTCCTAGCTTCCTAGCCTTTAGAAGTTAGACTTTAGGCCAGGAGTGGTGGCTCACGCCTGTGTTCCCAGCACTTTGGGAGGCCGAGGCAGGTGGATCACAAGGTCAGGAGTTCAAGATCAGCCTGGCCAATATGTTGAAGCCTCATCTCTACTAAAAATACAAAAGTTAGCCAGGCATGGTGGCGGGCACCTATAGTCCCAGCTACTCGGGAGGCTGAGACAGGGGAATTGCTTGAACCTATGAGGTGGTGGTTGTGGTGAGCCAAGATCACGCCATTGCACTCCAGAGCAAAACTGTCTCAAAAAAAAAAAAAAGATTTTAACAAGCCAAGATATTCCATCCTGCGCCTCCCATTCCAAGATTCAGGTTCAGACTGTGTTATGGCATCACCATGTCACCCATGGTGGCTCTTTCTCCTCACCTGGCTAGATGTGGGTGACCCACAGACCTCAGAAGGCCAAGACTTTGTCCTGACCTCCCTGTGGCCCTCACAGGAACCTCAGAAGCAGCAGGTTCCAACTCTGACTTCTGTCCCACCCAGCAGAGAAGAGAGGCCCTGCTGCTCTCACCCCCAGTGGGGAGTGAGAGGAAGGAGGACCCCACAGAGTCAGGTAAGGAGGGACCAGGCAAGGTGCATGCAAACCACTTGCCCACAGCTGCCAAGCCCCCAGGATCTGGAGGTCCCCTGCGACAGACAAGTCCAGAGCTCCCTGGCCTCCCTCAGGTCCACACTGAATGCTTGGGAAGAGTGCCACAGGCTGGGAGTGGGGGCAGGAGCTGAGGACACTCCCCGGGAACGCCCCTCACAGACGTGCTGGGATTTTTGTTCCCAAAGTCTGGAGGCCCATCGGGGCGCTGGGATTGTGGGCAGGAGACAAGCCCGAGGCTGAAGCAGAGGAGCAGGGCTACAAGAGCCCACGGGCACAGGGCAAGGCGCTGGAATGGAGAGCAAAGGAAGCCTCCAGTGACCGAAAGGATGGCAGTCCGGCTGAGGAAGGGAGAAATCCTGCAGCCTCCGAAGCCAGTGGCTTGGCGCAACACACAGGCTGATGTCCAGAATCACCTCAGACTTCCGGCCCCAAAATGGCTGCGCTCAGACCTCGGGCCCCAGAACCGCCGTGCTCAGACCTCAGGCACATCCAGAATCACCTTAGACCACAGGCACATCCAGATTCACTGCACTCAGACCTCAGGCACGTCCAGAATCACCGC